GCCAGGAGTGACCAGGAATAATGGTCACAAGCTGGCAGAGGATAGATTCAGATTAGACATCAGGAGGCGCTACTTCACTGTCAGGGCAGCTTGGATCGGGAACCAACTTCCAAGAGAAGTGGTGCTGGCTCCTACCCTGGGGGTCTTTAAGAGGAGGCTGGATAGACACCTTGCCAGGGTTGTTTGACCCCAGTACTCTTTCCTGCCCATGGCAGGGGGTCTGACTTGATGATCTGCTCAGGTCCCTTCTGACCCTACCAACTATGAAATTATATTTCATCTGCACATACATTTTTGGAGGATCCCAGGACCCATGACAAACACACCCAGTTCGTCATGGCTGAAAGGCTAATTAGCACATGGATCCTTTGTGGGGGGAAAGGAAGTGAGGGAGCAGTGTCTGGTGTACCCACACATATAGGCAGTGCTGAGCTATGGGGTCATCATGGCTTGAAATTCTGTTGACTCTGTTGGGGCCCAACCCAACGAGCTACATGATAAATCATAAGTTTTTTTTACTTTGTACTAATACCATCCATAGTTTGTAAGCTATAAAATCAGGTACAAAAGCACTGCTTAAAAGTGTTTACCTGTGCTAAAACTTGCAGCATTTTCAAACAGGTAAAACGCATCAATTCTGGATGAACCAAGTCTAAAAGTACCATATGCAAATTACTACAGGTATGTTTATTTCAAGGTCAGTGTTTTCAAATTTGCCCCTCACTTCCCTTTTCCTGGCAGAGCAGGGTCTGAGAATAAGGAGAGAGATGGGGAAGAAGCTGCAGGGGGGCAGAGGGTAAGGAGGCTAACCTGATCCTCCAGATTTATTTTCCCTGCGATAACAGTGAGAGTGGGACAAATTTAACCTCCAATAATTAGATTCTATACCTGGAAAATTATAACCATATAAAATTATGGACAATTATAACTAACTTATAAATTTTTCCATATGTAGAATCTACCTATTAGAGGGGTCATCTTACATTCAGGGATGTCTTGTATTTAAGTAAATACAGTACTAAGATACAGCTGGGTTTTTGGTTGTAGCCGTGTTGGTCTAAGGCAGGCAAGGATCTTTGGGTAGATGTGATATCTTTTATTAGACCAAGTAGTTGGAAAGAAGTTATTTGCAAACTTTTGCACGCAGTCACCCTTCATCGAGCATAGGGAGTCTCTGCTTTGCCTTACTAAGATACATAAAGTCAAAATTTGTTTTGAGGGCAGAAGAAAGGAAAAGGGGGAAAACAACTGTGTCTTTGAAAGTCTCCCCCTTAATAAATTTATGACCATCAGAAAAATGGTTAAAATCACCAGAGAATCTGAGCACCTCATATACACTTCAACCATCTTTACTATTGTCCTTCCTCCCCTCATCATAGGGGCTCTGGCTCCTCTACCCTTCCCCTCCATCCCTCAGACATCCCTTGCTGTATAGAAAATAGAATCCCAGGTCTTCTGCTTCCCAGCATTATACTACATCAAACTTCCTCCTTTCATTTGAGAACCAGTTTCTTCAAGTAACACTTATTCAATACTATAATTTTACCATTAATGAGAAGGTTCTTGGATACAAGAAGCTACATGCATCAAACGGGAAACAGATATAAAGAGCAAGAGGACAGAGCAAAGACTGGCTCATTCTATTTGAATCTCACTCAGAAACTTCAACTTACCCCTTAGTTTCCCATTAACTCTCTAGGTAACACCCCGTGCTGTTAGTCTACTATAATCAAAAGGCACAAGTGTCAGTCTTTCTTCCTGCAATATTCTAATTTTTAAATTCAAATTAAAAAGGCACAGAGATGTTCTCCCTTTGAAAGATGATATGGGCTAAATGTTTCAAGACTGAAAGAACTTCGTTATTAAAGCTTTGTTTCCAAAGATTTCAACCATTTTCAGTCAATCACACAAGTTGGGAGGTCTGGGCCCACTTAAAATAATGAGCCTCTCCATTGATCATAAGCTCACAAAGCCCTGACTTTACCATAGAAAAATGAAGACATTTCCAAAGACTCCATGTTCCACAAGTGATGAAAAGCCATTTATGGTTTGTTTAAAACCCCTCCTTCAAAGCTGATATTATGACTTCTTGAACAATAAATAGCTTTGTTACTACCTGTCAGCATCATCAGGAATGTTTCCATGCATCACAATGAGATCTCCAGGAAGAAGACCACTAAGGATACTCCCAACATATGGAATGACCTATGAGAAGGTGGGCAAAATCAGAATGTTCAAAAATAAGGTTTTGGGACATCCAGGCTAAAGACAATAAAAACAAAATGAATGGATCAAAAAATCCAGTTCTCACTCATGAGTACAGCAATAGTCAGCAGCTGAAGCAGTTCTAGGTCTCACAATAGAAAATATGAACTTGAAAAGTTTTCATCGAAGCTGAAAAAACAGTTTTTATTGTAAGTTCTCAACTTTGCGAACCTCATTCTTGGAACAAGGGAGTTTAGGTAAATCCTTAAAAACTGCCTCAGTACAGGAGAAAAGGGAAAAAAAAACATTTCTCCTTCGGATTATGAGAGGGTAAAAGTTTCAAGGGAACATTTCCAGTGGTCAAGTAGTTAATCGACCCTGCAGGAAAGGGAAGGCAATAGACCACACCCTTTGCATAAGACATTTGCCGATAAATCACAATAGCAGCAGAGAGAAAGAAAAACTGCCACCCATAAAAGACTGGAATTTGCAACTAAACTCTAGAATATCACCGAATGCATATTAGCACGGCAGACTACGGCTGCCATTGCAGGAGGCTTGCTCCATTATAAACTGCAGCATGCTCAGTAAAGTCTTTAGGGATTTCAGCTGCTGAAAACTACCTACAAACCACAATCTTCAAGAGGCTTAAACTAGGCCAGATTCTGTGTCCCCTCCTCCCCCTCAGAGGACAAAAATACATACACCTGACACTCAGTCCACTTCTTACCAGATCTGATTCCCTGCTCTGGAACATGGGGGGGTGCCAAAACATTTCCAGTAAGAGGTTGCTAGACTTCACCTTGACAAAACTCCTTTTTCCTTTTACTGAATTCTCTTAGATGGCTGAACTACATAAGCTGAAGTTAAAACGGAAAGGACCTAAAGCAAATGTTCAGTTTTTAAAAACTTTGCCAAATTCTAATTTTTTCAATGGGAAATTGTAAGCAACTTAAAACAGAGCCTTGATAAAAGGTGTCTGACGCTCCTAATTTTAATAGGTGCTACCACCCACCCTAGTATACAACACAGACTCCCCACTGTGCCCTCTAAAGTAGTAAGGCCAACACTAGCTTCCCATTATATGCCCTCTTTTCAACTTCCTTCTAAGTTAACCAATTAACCAAGACAACCAAGTAAAACTAATTAATCAATATACCCAGTAAGATATACAAGCCAAAAAGTACATCTCTGACCCCCAAACAGCACTTGGCTAAGCACTGGACTTGCTTAAGGTTCACATTAGTACTGAAATGGGGCAATACAGCTACTCCTTGCTTAACGTTGTAGTTATGTTCTTGAAAAATGGGACTTCAAGCGAATCCAGTTACATCACAGTAGTTACCTACTAGCAGGCGGCAGCCAACCAACATTATAACCGAACATAGCGCGACTTTAAACAAGTATGTTCTCTAATAGACCAGCAACGTAATAATGAAACAACGTTAACTGGGATGAAGTTAAGTGAGGAGTACCTGTACCATCACAACCTAGCAAGGCATACCATACTGCAGATTTGAGAGTGCTTTTCCCTCTTTCTGAATGTGCTGGGAGAATGCTGATCTCACTGACTCTCCATAACTCAGGAACTATTCTGTAAGCAGCAGAGGTTTTTCGTCAGAGACATGAGAAAACTGGAGATTTCTCAATCTTCTCATTGCATGAAGAACACACCAAAAGGCTTTCCTGACATGACACTACAGTGTTTCTTGATGGACACCACTATCCATCTACTAAATGAGAAGCTACTGAACCAATAGGGAGTTACCGGGTTATGGACTGCATTCTCCAGCTTGTCCAAGGACATCATCTTCCTTCCTCTAGTTCAGATCTGCTGAAGTCTGTCAGCTCTGAGACCAGCGATGACTTTTGAATATCTTTGAAGGCCTGGACAGTTTTGATGGCACTGAAGTAGGATTTTCTTTGGAAAACAACAGTTAGCATTTAATTAAAAAGCTTGTGTTAAAACAGTAGCTTTAAAAATATTAAGTCCTCAAGCTTCTTGCATGTTATTGAAAATTTCTTATGAGGGATGTCTTTGTTTATATGTTTGGGAGTTTAAAGGTATGAAAATTAAGGGCTCAGTGGTATTAACAAGGCACAACCCTTAGTAAGGGGCAGTGTGTGCAGCTACAAAGTTTTACCAGGAGCTTTAGGAACAGATTTACCTATTGAGTTGCAATATTGCCTAAACTGCCTGCTGTACATGGGAACATGGACAATGCCCTCTCTGTCTGGTCCAGACTTCTCTGGAGTTTAGCCCTGCCCTTGCACAGGTGAGCAAGAGGGAAGTGTTCCTTCCTGCATGACAGGGACAAAAAAATTGGTCCCAAATGAGAAAGACGTCAGGGTAGATATGCACCTTTATACTATAACTAAATAAGATAGAGAGCGAGCAAAATAAGAAAGACACCTAATTTGTTTTCTTCTTTCCTCTTCCCACCAATTCCAGGGAGAAAAGTCTGAAGACTGTATTTCTTACTTGCTCTTGAGGGTTAAAAGATGGTTGCTCTCTCTTATGGGTTGTTCTACTTTTTGATGAGCAGTGATTGCAGCTACAAAGCAAAATCTGTTTTCTAGCAGTCTCCTTCAGTATATACAGTCTCCAGTATTAGCAAACAGCTGGTAGACTGTAATCCAGAGAATTACTGAATAGTCAGCCACTAACAGAAATGAAACTACTGCTTCCTCGTTACAGCTACCCCTCTCCTTCACAGTGGCACCCTGCAGTGACCAAAATTCAGTACCCAAATGAAAGAAAGCCAAACTGCTTGCACAATACCGTATGCAGACACACACAACTTCATGTATTAACAGCAATTATTTATTCTTATTAATAGGGTCGGCTGGTGCTTTTAATCCACCCAGTTCAAAAGGAGTTTATAGTAGGGCAAACTTCATTACCCTCAGTTTCCCCATCTCTAAAGATGCTGTTCATTTTGTGCCTCATTGCCAATAGTACAGAGAAGGCCAAAAGAACCAGAAGGAAAACCTGGATCTTCCGACTGCCAGTCTGACAGCTATCGACTGGGCTATGCTGCCTCCCATGATCTGAGACAGCAATCTAGACTTCACTGAAAGAGGATGCTAGGACTCTGGGAAACAAAACAGCAGGAGAACTCTTTTGACATGGGCACAAAGCACATAAACCTGGCGCAGTCAAAATCTCAGCAGGGCAGCCAGCAGGATGCAGGACACAGGGGGGTGGTGCCACTGGCAAGGCACAGAGACAGCAGCAGTGTAGACCTTTACAGCTGGAGACAGAGAATGATTAAGAACCACGGGATCTTGCTTATGGGCTTCAGAGAGACATGACTAGCAATATTTGTAACACTAATTGCTCCAGCTAACAGTGCTGCTGCTTTGCGATTACCGAGTCTAACTGTAGGGCAACTCTGGGTTTTGCAAGACTGCAAGGCACAGATTTCTGGAAAATGATTGCAGTAAAGTGCTGTTGGAATTATCTAACTGCATGATAGTTCTTGCAGCAGACAAGTAAACACAAACGCCCTAGGCGTTTCCATCACCTTCTAGGAAAGGTAGGGGCTGCTGTCAGTTTAAAACCAAGAAGCGCTGGGTTTGTTAATATTAAAGTAGTCAAGTGAAACTTCTCCCTCCCCTCCTTTTTTGAAAACTAATCTCACTGAAGTTTGGCTTAGTGGGAGGGCAGGGGGTGGATATTTAATGTGAATATAGTGTAGATATACAGTCTGCAGCATAAGCACCTCAAGACTGTGCCAGCAATCAGAACTAGAAAATACAAACCGATTCACTTAAAATATCCTTTAACAGATCAGAGACATTTTTAAACACAGGGAAGGGCAGGATTTTAACCTTACCGTGTCCTTGCACTCCTGTTCTTACTTCTTTTAATCACTTCCCTGGAATGAATCAACCTTGTTTTTGGCATCTAAAAACAGCTACCTCTATTATTCCTTTTTCTTTCTTTTTCTTTCTAAGGGGATGCTGTCCACCTAGCTATACTCCTGTTTTTCATTTAACTTACCTTTGTAACTAACAACCCCTTCACAGATTCAAGCTGAAGTCTGACTGCAAATCAAGTATGCCTGTTCCCATTCCTGCCACCTGTGTTGGATTAATGCAGCCCGTCCCCCTGCTCATGCAGGCAAAATGGTTCCTCCATTTCCTGGTTTCTCTTTGCACTAACACAGTGACATCAGCAGGGATGCAGGGCTCAGACTGCCTCCACTAGCATTACCCTCCCCACTCCTTAAAGGAGCAGCTCCCGTTCAGCCTCCCTCACTCATGCCTCCTTTTATTTCTCGCTGTTGCATGCCCATCTCTTTGTAGCTTACTGTTCAGCCCAGTCCTTAGATACAATTGAATTTTGTCCATCAGGACAACTGTGAGGTTTTAATCATGGCAACACGGTGATCCTGGGGAAAGTGGCACTTCCTTCACCTTGATACAAACTCTCCGTGCCACTTGCAGGGCCAGACACAGGCATAGGTGAACCAGATGGCCACCCAGGCCCCGGACAGAAAGGAGGCCCGACAATTAAACAAAATGCAAAAAAAAAAAAAAAAAAAAATGCACTTGC